TGTAAACCAAATGGCTTCAAAGCACATGAAAAACATTAATCATGAAGTATATGCTTCGGGTAAGCTTGCAACGTTTTCTTATGTAGAAAACACCATCCGTAGAAGAAAAAAATGGTGCACTTGGCTTGTGGTTTAACCCTTTGCACTCCGAGTACTTTCAGAAGCTGTTTGATCTAATATCAGCACTATAGCTTTTAAAATACACAATATGATATTATAATACAATTGTTAAAATTATTAAAATAATGTATTTACTAATTATTAAGCTATAAAATCTCTTAATTTTAAAGTGGTGACTGTTGATGGTGCCTACTTGGGGACATCGGAGAGTAAAGGGTTAAAGATTCTTCAAATGGTAAATTATCAAGTTCTAGGATCTTTTGATTGTTATTCTTGACAGAACATTTAACAATTACAAATTATCGCACTGTAATAATTTATTATCTTTGCACGTTAGTAATGATATGGAATTAAAATTTATTCGTCCTTATAAATTATTTCCTATTGTTCGTTATCCAAAACAAAGCTTTCAGAAGAGAGGCGCGCAAGAATTTTTTTCTTCATAGGAGCGGAATCTTTCATAGACTCCTATGAAAGATTTGAATTTTTGGATATATAATATAGTTTTTATAAATTTGGAAAGAAAGATTTGAATGGTAAGAGATTTTCCACGAATTTTATTTTGCACTGTTAACCAGATTCATTAAAAATAGCAGCGACATCATACAAAACCACCCCTATTAAATGTTTTATTTGATATGTTTTCTTTTCTAATATTATCACATTTGGTTTGTCAGACCTTCATTTTAGGAAAATATTATTCGTTATTAAATTTTGTTATAGGATACAAAATTTCACTTGCGGAAAATCGGTTAGAGCACCTTGTGTATCATTTAGAGCTTTCAATAAAAAGTACACAAATTGCTCGAAATTTCTTACATATTCAAGATGTTTCAATCATCATTATTATAACTTATTATTATTTTATTTTATTAAAATTTATTTTAATGAAATGTTATTATGAAAATTATTTTGTAACTTCTGAAAAAATCATAAACTGCAGCATGCGTTTCAAAACAAAATTATACATTTTTTTCTTCTTTAATGTTTTCCTAGCATGAGCTGTATGAAGGGATTATTCATATCTGGTGTGATTTTTAACGGAATTTTCTTATATATATTTAATATTGATTATTTTTATATTAATTGAGAAATACTGTAAAAAGTATGCTTAATTTTATTTAATATTTATGCAGTTTATTTATTTTTGTTTATATATATATATANAGCATTATGTCGCTCCAGAACTTTTGAATGGTTTAAACGCTTTTGAGACAGCGCGAAAGCTTGGAAGATGGTCCACACACAGGTTGGCCGCAGTCGTTACGCACGCCGGAAGAAATTGAAAAGGTTCGCTTCCACACATTGCGTTGCCTTTGAGGCGATTCTTAGCCCAGCATGGTGTCGTTGAAATGCAGCATCCACCATACTCTCCAGACCTAGCACCCGCAGACAGTTTCCTAAGCTAAAAAATTCTCTGAAGGGGACAAGATTTCAAGATGTCGAAGCCATCAAGAAGACTGTAACGTCACTATTAAAGAGCATTCCAAAAGAGGACTTTAAAACTTCGATCCGAAATTTGCCCTGCCGAGCACAGACGTGCATTATGGCTGATGGGGGTTACTTCGAATAATATTAAATGGCTATGTGTTTAATTTTATTTTCTTCTGAGTTATTCCATGAGTCCTGGAAATTAATAGCCGGACCTTGTATATATATATATATATATATAAACAGAGATAGAAAATCAATTAATAAGGAAAGAGAAGAAAACATTTCAAAAGAAAATTTAGAATTTAAGAGCTGTGCACAAACTGCAAGTACATATAACCCATAATATAAGATAAAAACACAAAGAAAACAAGAAAAGATATGAAAAAAAGGATATTAAAGAGGAGAAGAAAATATAAAATCATTTAAAACTTAAAAAGGATTAAAAAATCAATTCAAATTAAAAGTTAACAAAGAAAAGATATCTTGGAATCAGTGCACATGATTATACCCGCAGCAATAGTGCTTTCTAATATTGTATTAATATAGTTAAAGCAAAATATATCAATACAACAGTTCGTGAAGAAACAAAGAAAAAAAATTTACCAATTTGTAGACATGATTTTATGAAGTAAGAAATCACAAACATTTAAGAAAAATACAAAATAAAACACAAATCGGAACATGCAAAGTCGATTTATTCTCAAATAATTTGCTAAAATGATTCAGCACTATTTTCGCAACTAAGTTATCAGATTACAAAATATGAAATTAAAGCGTAATTGGAGGTTAATCGAATGATTTTTAAGGTTCGTTCATACTGAAGTTAAGAACCGTATTTGATTTGTGTGTTACCTTGGATTTTCTCAATAATTGGATTAGCGCATAATAATGGTATATTAAACAGGAGAACCGTGGCAGTTCAGGGGATATAGAGCTCTCTTCTCAATGAGGTGACCCAGGATCAACCCAAGCGTTGGTTAGACGATTCGAATTCTGCTACCGGTTCGCACCTAACACAGTGCTGAAATAAAATATCCTCATTTTTAAACAGATCATGAGTTAAATTCTTTCTTGCTTTCGACGTTATCGTGGGACATTTCCGTAGCTTTCCTCCCCATGTTACGCAAATATGGATAACTTCCATCAAAAAGTCCTCCACAAAGGCTAGTTTGTCCAAAGCTTAATCCAGAAGCTCTGTTGTCTTCTGGATTGGGTTAAAAATTACTAGGCTACGGAGTTGAGCATTGATAATCAAGAACTCAAATCTGAGACAACCGTTCAACGCCAGTAATGAAATAAAATATTACACTGGATGAATTCGGGCAAATCCATGGTAAAAACTAAATTGTAACTAACAAACAGCCTACTCAAATATTCGATTATATACTTAATATGAATCAAATGTTTGTAATTTCTATAAAAATCATCGAATTTAAATTTTGTATTTAAAATTCGACCTTCTATTAATCATAAACTTATAATTATTCAGTATAATTTAATATTACCTCGCGCAAATCCAGTTTTCGGGCCAATCCATGGTAACAAACATATCAAATTAGTTTTTCAACTTCAATATGATCACGCCTTAGATATGTGACATCACTGTACCCTTGATTTACCTTTAATTTCATATGTCGTAATCTAGCAACTTAGTTACGAAAATATTTTTAAATCAATTTTGCAAATTATTCATAAGTTCTTGACATGCTCGCTTCAAATATTCCGTTTCTAATTGTGTTTTAATTTGTATTTTTCGAAAATATTTATGATGTTTTTATTTGAATCGGTATGAATCAATCTTTCTCTCTATTTTTTCTTCTTTGGTGCTACTCAGACTACTGTACCGATACCCAATCTGCTTTAGCTACATTAATAGAATATTAGAAAGCTCTATTTTTGCGATTATAATCGTGTGAGCTGTAGAATAAATTTTAGATATTTTCGAATCTTTGATTTAAAATATGCAATAGGTATAGCTCTACAAACAACAGTTTTTACGCAATTCAATAATATAGTCCAAACTACGTTTTTTTTAAAATTCATTTGTGTCTATACTAATGGTCACCACTTCTCTGCTGTTTAGGGAGCGGTAATACAAGACTAATACATTTCAGTTTACGATGAGCTAAGGTCATTTTATGTTGCATACAAACTGGTGCACTCAGAGAAAAACTAAACTAAAATAGAAATATAATTTTTAAACAATCTGTAATTTTTCGACCAAAACTAATTTCAAAGAGATCCCCTCACCCGAATGATGTAAGATACAAGTCGTTATAAATGCAACTAAAAATTTGTTCCCAAGTGCTAATTTTGATAATAAAATTTGATAATTAAAAGGGTTTTAAAAGAAACTTTTTTCAAATAGTTTTCTTGAATGGGAAGAATATATGCAATCAATTTAGCTGATGCAGCAGATTGTCGAAAGAAAAGAAAGATAATTACAAAGAACTCTCCTGTTGGCGGACAAATAAAAAAAAAGAACTTTTTTTTGTATATTATTTTGAAACTTCAAAATTTTAAACGTCATAACATTTTATATAATACTTTCATAGCTACTTCTACATAAACTGTCATGAAAAAATTTACGATATATTCTTTTTTATTGAATCTCGTTTTTGAAGAAATTATTCAAATATATGTAGACGAAATATCAACCGCAGGTGCTTCTGAATAAATAACTTAATATGGTTTTTTGTATTTGATTTTCAAAGATCTATGCCTCACTTGATTAAGTAGGCGCCCTTTTGTAATCTCATATATTATCTAAAAAAATTTCATTCAGTTCGTTCATTTATGTTTAAATAATTGCATATTGCTTAGGATAAGATGTCAACTGCTCAGACAGGTAAGTAAACTGATATTATTTATAATTATCGTAATCAATGATGATAATCAGTTGTTTTTTAACACTGTTTTTCAATATAATTTTGAAAACAATCTGTAATTTTTCGACCAAAATTAATTTTAAATTTGAAATCTCCACACCCGAATGATGTAAGATCCAAGTAGTCATAAATGCATTGATAATAAATGATATATTGATAATAAAACTTGATAATTAAAAGTAGTTTTCAAAGTTATTTTTTCTTCAAATAGTTATCTTAAATGGGAAGAATCCATGCAATCAATTTAGCTGATGCAGCGAAACATTAATTGCCGAAAGGAAAGAAAGATGATTATCGTAGATACTGAAAGCGAACAAATAAACAAGAAGCTCTTGTCAGCGAACAAATAAAAAAGAATGAATGCTTTTTTTTTGTATAATTTTGGAACTACAATATTCTAAACGTCATACCATTTTACTTAATACTTTCATAGCCACTTCTACGAAAATTGTAACGAAAAAAATATACGATACGTTCTTTTTAACGCAACCATGTATCGAATCTTACTAGTCTCATTGTACTCTGTTTGAAAAGAAATGATTTAAATGTACGTAGATGAAATAACAGCCGCAGGTGCTTTTGAATAAATAACTTTATATGGTTTTTCATATTTGATTTTCAAATATGTATGCATCTCTTTATTAAGTATGCGCCTTTCTGTTTCTTATATAGTATCTGAATTTCGTTCATTTATGTTTAAATAATTGTATATTGCTTTGGATAAGATGTCAACTGCTCAGACAGGTAAGTAAACTGATTTTATTTATAATGATCGTAATCAGTGATGATTAGAATGGTGATAGTCAGTTGTTATTTTAACAGTTTTATCAGTTTTTCAAAGCTCTGTAGTTAAGGAAAATAAAAAAAGTGTTAATTTAAGTGCCTTACACTTGAAACAATGCGATGATTTTTAACTATATGTATAATCTTGCCGTGAAGAATTATCTGGTCTTTAGAACAGAAGGGTGGGGATAACTTAAAGAAATATTTTATTTTTGAGCTGATTCGGATGCAAAAGTGTTTAACTTTTAGTATGAAAATTTAACATATTTACTTGCAATGATACGAAACGTCATCAATTCTTTAGTATGAGGCTTTCTAGTGTGCAATTTAATACTACTTTAAGCAAGTGTCACAAGTGAGAAGGTTTTTCTGATGAGTTGTTAAAATATAAAAACGGTAAGAAAAAATATAGTATACGTTTCTTATAACCACAATATTTATCACCAAAGAATGATCACAATGTATATTTAATATACTTTATAATTACATCTAATTTTTTCAACAGGGACATAAGTGACATAAGAGACAGACGCCATAAGTGACGTGACAGGTGACAGCAGTGACAGGTGACGAAAGTGGCATTTTATTCACTCAAATTCAGATGTTAGTCATAATATTTCTGACATAAAAAACTGAAAGTTTTTAAAAGTGTAATTGGATGAAAGTGTTAATTTAAAAAAAAGTGTAATTAAATAATTTCATTGCATTGTTTAAAAGAAAAACAAACTTTGTAAGGATTTGAATAAAGACAAAAGACATTAATTTCCCACTATCTGCCTGTATTGTTTAGAAAAAATTAAATCATCAGGTAGTTTAAGCTGCTGTATTAAAGTACATATTTGTTGCATATTTTGATAGCCAGAAATCATGGAATTCGAAGATATTTTGAAAAATGTAGGAGATTTTGGATGGTATCAAAAGTTCCTCTTAGTTGTTTTTCTAGTGCCAACATATCTTTTTATTCCGTGGGTATCTTTGAACGCCATCTTCATTTCTGCCACTCCTCAACATTGGTGCTACGTTCCTGAAGTGCATTCATCAAATCTTTCTACGGATGAGCAAAAATATCTAATTAGACCCCCTCAAGATCCATCCTGCTCAAGATATGACGTTAATTATACAGGTGTTCTACACTCGGATAATATCACAGTGGATGAGAGCTGGTCCGTGATTGAATGCGATCTCGGATGGCAATACGATAATACACACTACGATGAAACAGCTGTAACTAAAGTAAGGAACTTTATGCTATCTTCTTTAATAAATTCTATATTGCACTTTTAAAGAAGGAGTTAGAGAATATTAAACAAAGCTTAGTAATTTAGATAATAATACATTAAATTTTTTTAGCATTCTATAAGAGGTTAAAAATGCAAATTAATAATGTTCAATTTCCATACTTAATTATTAGACCATCATAAAAATCCTGTTAAATTTAGAATAATTATTTGTCCAATACTTACAAATCTAAACCAGCCACCATTTTCTCTAACTACTTAAATAAAGTTATTCATAATATTATGGAAGAAGGTTTTTCATGGATTATCAAAAACAATCAATTGAATTTAAAAATTTATTGAACAAAATAAAATTAATTCTATTGCGAATTTTGATTTTCAAAATTTCTTCAATAGCATCCCCCTTTCTAAACTAAAAGATGTTCTTTTGAGTTATTACTATGATTATAAAAATATCCTTGATTACGATTTTTATTATTGTTAATTTTAATAAATATTAAAATTTCAATTTTAAGGAATATTTGGCTTTTTAATTATTATCTTTACAATGGAAAGCATATTTTTGTTCTAACGGCTGAAATACCACAAGGATCTAATTTTTAATCAATTTTAGCTAGCTTATTTTTTACACTATTATGGAAAAGTTTAATACTCTTTGTACTTGTTTTTAGACTTTTTAATAATTTAATTGTCTTTTATTTTCAAAATTATACAATTTTGTGAAATAATATTTACCCAGAGGAATTAGTCTTGCTTCGTAACCATGATGATAATATTATTTTTTGTTTTTGGATTTAAGTAAACAGAAGAAAATATCTTCCCTGTTGAATTGTGCGATAAACGAAATTATTTTAAATTTAATAAAAATGAACTAATAACAAGAGATTTTTATGTTTTTAAAAACAATTTTTTAAATACTATTTTTAATCAAATGAATAGAATTCAAAGAATTTGTAGTAATGTTTATTTATTAAAAAAATGGATATCTAACTAATGTAATTAAATCTATGTAAAATCATTGAGTTAATTGTATGTTATAATTATTAATAAATTTATTAAGAGTTTATTATTAAATAAATTTGTATTTTTACCATGTACAAATCCAAATCGGGCAAATCCGTTACTAAACACTTTCAATATTTAATCGAAACTTTTACAATAATTTTTTTTTCAATAAATGTTAATTATTTCTCTAAAAAAACAATTTAAAAAAAATTTATATTTAAAATTCAACCTCAAAAATATTATACTTTGAATTATCGATTATAATATTATTACCTTGCGCACATCCATTTTCGCGCCAATCCAATGAAATCGACAAATCAAATGCGTTTCTGTACTTCAGTAAAAGCGTACTATAAAGTACATCTCACTATTCTCTACTTCATATTTAGTAAACTGACAAATTTGTTACGAAAATGTTTTAAATCAGTTTTGAAAAATGGCGGGAAGTGTAAGTACATTTGTTCTCTACTCGCTTTATATTATACATATTATGTTTTATTCTGCATTTCTCTCAAATTTTTTTCTAATTTAAGTGTGATGCGTTTTATTTTGTATTTTTTGCTTAATATGTTCTATTTGCCTTTCAAATATTTTTGGTTCTCCTCCCGCTATTATATTGACATATTTTGCTTTGATTATATTGATACAATATTAGAAAGTTTTTTCTTTGCGGATATAATCGTATGAGATGATGGCGAGATTAGATCTTTTCCTTATTTTGTTTTCCGCCTTTTTAATTTTTTTTTAAATTTTAAAACTTCAGCAATTTTTTTTAAGGAACACATTATTTATTAATGATTTTTCTTCTACTCTTTTTCTAAGATTATGCATCATTACTTGTTTATTGTATATTTTCCTTGTTCTTCTTTGTATATTTTAATTTTATATATGTTGGTTAGACGATTCGAATTCTGCTACCGGTTCGCACCTAACACAGTGCTGAAATAAAATATCCTCATTTTTAAACAGATCATGAGTTAAATTCTTTCTTGCTTTCGACGTTATCGTGGGACATTTCCGTAGCTTTCCTCCCCATGTTACGCAAATATGGATAACTTCCATCAAAAAGTCCTCCACAAAGGCTAGTTTGTCCAAAGCTTAATCCAGAAGCTCTGTTGTCTTCTGGATTGGGTTAAAAATTACTAGGCTACGGAGTTGAGCATTGATAATCAAGAACTCAAATCTGAGACAACCGTTCAACGCCAGTAATGAAATAAAATATTACACTGGATGTCATAACATTTTATATAATACTTTCATAGCTACTTCTACATAAACTGTCATGAAAAAATTTACGATATATTCTTTTTTATTGAATCTCGTTTTTGAAGAAATTATTCAAATATATGTAGACGAAATATCAACCGCAGGTGCTTCTGAATAAATAACTTAATATGGTTTTTTGTATTTGATTTTCAAAGATCTATGCCTCACTTGATTAAGTAGGCGCCCTTTTGTAATCTCATATATTATCTAAAAAAATTTCATTCAGTTCGTTCATTTATGTTTAAATAATTGCATATTGCTTAGGATAAGATGTCAACTGCTCAGACAGGTAAGTAAACTGATATTATTTATAATTATCGTAATCAATGATGATAATCAGTTGTTTTTTAACACTGTTTTTCAATATAATTTTGAAAACAATCTGTAATTTTTCGACCAAAATTAATTTTAAATTTGAAATCTCCACACCCGAATGATGTAAGATCCAAGTAGTCATAAATGCATTGATAATAAATGATATATTGATAATAAAACTTGATAATTAAAAGTAGTTTTCAAAGTTATTTTTTCTTCAAATAGTTATCTTAAATGGGAAGAATCCATGCAATCAATTTAGCTGATGCAGCGAAACATTAATTGCTGAAAGGAAAGAAAGATGATTATCGTAGATACTGAAAGCGAACAAATAAACAAGAAGCTCTTGTCAGCGAACAAATAAAAAAGAATGAATGCTTTTTTTTTGTATAATTTTGGAACTACAATATTCTAAACGTCATACCATTTTACTTAATACTTTCATAGCCACTTCTACGAAAATTGTAACGAAAAAAATATACGATACGTTCTTTTTAACGCAACCATGTATCGAATCTTACTAGTCTCATTGTACTCTGTTTGAAAAGAAATGATTTAAATGTACGTAGATGAAATAACAGCCGCAGGTGCTTTTGAATAAATAACTTTATATGGTTTTTCATATTTGATTTTCAAATATGTATGCATCTCTTTATTAAGTATGCGCCTTTCTGTTTCTTATATAGTATCTGAATTTCGTTCATTTATGTTTAAATAATTGTATATTGCTTTGGATAAGATGTCAACTGCTCAGACAGGTAAGTAAACTGATTTTATTTATAATGATCGTAATCAGTGATGATTAGAATGGTGATAGTCAGTTGTTATTTTAACAGTTTTATCAGTTTTTCAAAGCTCTGTAGTTAAGGAAAATAAAAAAAGTGTTAATTTAAGTGCCTTACACTTGAAACAATGCGATGATTTTTAACTATATGTATAATCTTGCCGTGAAGAATTATCTGGTCTTTAGAACAGAAGGGTGGGGATAACTTAAAGAAATATTTTATTTTTGAGCTGATTCGGATGCAAAAGTGTTTAACTTTTAGTATGAAAATTTAACATATTTACTTGCAATGATACGAAACGTCATCAATTCTTTAGTATGAGGCTTTCTAGTGTGCANTATATACATTTTTTATAAAGGCTATTTAATCATATTGACTTAACTTCATTGACTATTATTAATAATAACCGGATAAAGAGATTCATTTGCGATATTTCTCACTTTGACCAAAAGAAATGTTTATTATTAAAAACGAACGGTTAATATTAATAATAACCGGATTTATTACTTTAACAGTAAAATATAAACTATTTAATTTATATGAGGTCATTGCAGACAGCTTAGTTGTTGGCATTGAATTATCATTTTGCTCAATACATGCTGTCAACAATTAAAATGCTGTATAAAAAACTATCGAAGTTACTTTTAAATGACATTATTCTCAATTCTGAAAATTTTTAAACAACTCAATATTTTTCTAAAACGCTATCATGGTAATAGATATAGCTTTCCTTTTGTAGGTGCGGTCGGAAACCAACGTTTTTAGGTTTAACACTGATAGTAGCTATTGCTGAAATAGGATCTGCTTTCTCTCCTTCCTTAATGTTGTTTCTCGTCTTAAGAATAATCATTGGAAGTACAATGACTTGTTTGTATAGTCTTGGATACATCATCGGTACGTACACTACTTTTTTTTTACATACTTTAAACGAAGGAATTTTTTTTAGAAAAGAAACAATTGCTTTAAGAACTGTGACACTAACATCAATGAATTTACTTTAGAACACTGATTTTTGTAAACTAATAAATTTTGCTTAGTTGCCAAGTTGGCGAAAGATTTTTCTCAAGTATTTGCAACTTCAGCTAAATTCCTGATTCGTTGTCTATTTAGTTTGCTTTACAATCATTTTGACCACCACGGCTGGCATATTAATAAACTATATGAATATCTTATTTAAATATTGGTCCAATTCCAAAAATAATAAAAATAAATAAATAAAATAGGCTTCACTTTTAAACAGGTCATTTCTTCCTTTTTTCAAATTTAGTACTCCTCCAGTTTATTCGTAATTCCAAACAGAAGGCAAAAATAACAAACAAGATAAGAAAAAAATTACATTAAAAGTGAACAATGATGGAGTTGTTAAACTATTATTAAAATTAGGTCCTCGCATGAAAACTTAAATCATCGATGTCTTTTCATTTCAGTTCTGGAGTTAGTTAGCCCCAATATTCGATCCAGGATAAACGGAGTCGCCACGAACTGTTGGAGTCTAGGTCTATGTTTACTGCCATTATTAGCTTATATTACAAGAAGCTGGGTCTATCTTAGTATTGTAATGGCGGGTGCATCATCAGCTTGTTTTCTATTAGCATACTTGTAGGTATAATTTTTTGAATTTTCTTGGGAAGTGATTCCAGAAAGCTTTGTAGGTTAAGTTTTTGATATTTAAGTTTTTGACACTTTAAGTTTCTGATTCTTTTTTTTTTTAATTTCTCAGGAAATACCTCGAGGACTATTTTGTAAATTTTGAAGTATTTAGTTCATTCGATTTTTCATGCTTGGCAATAAAGATTGAAGAGGTTTTAGAGACCAACAATAAGTTACGAAAGGAAACAAGTATTTTTGATCACCCTATGCCAGAAAATCAAGCAATAAGCTTGTAACTTTCATCGGTCACTCAGTCTATTATTTTAAATAACTGCATAAAATTTCGTTAACCTAGCTTAAGTATTAATGGAGATATGAAAACTTTTATTAAAAAAGAAATTTTTTTGGTTTTATTCTCTTTTGGTATAAATTTAAAAACGTTAGCAAAATTAAAGAAAACTTTGGAGCAATTTAAAATTAATTATAAAAGTATTGTTTTAAAATGAGAAAAAAAATGTTAAAAATGCGCAAGATATGAATATTTAAAGTAGTTCTTTTGTACTGCGCATTCGCGAAAAGAAATTTCAAATTTCTTTTTCCTAATTTTTCAGGGAATCATATTTGCCAACTAATGGAAAAAATCTGATTTTAATATCTTAAAAATGGAAAAAGTTTAATGCCATTTTTTAAGTAGTTTTCGTACTTTTTAAAAGAAAACTTAAAAGAAAAGCTAAAAATAATCAGCTGTTTTTAGCAAATTATATTATGTAGTACTGAAAATTGCACTACCCTATAATGACTGGACAACAAGAGCACAATTAAATATGTAGAAAACCCTTTATCATTTCGTTCTTTTAAAAAATATAAAAACTACTTAGAAAATTGCTTGAAACTATTTGCGTAAAGATATTTCGATCAAATTTTTTTCTTTAGTAGCGAAATACGAATCACAATAAAATTATGAAAAAATAATTAAGAATTTTTTCCGCGCTTACGCAGTACAAAAGAAAATAATTAAATATTCATATCTTGCGCAATTTTTAATTTTTTTTCTCCAAATTTTAAAACAATAATTTTGTAACTTGTTTAAAATTGTTCCCAAAATTCTACTTAAAATTTTAAAGTTATAACTAAAAAAAACATCAGACAAAAAAATTTTTTTTTTAATTATCTCCATAAATATTTAAGCTAGATTAACGAAATTTAATGCAGTCATTGAAAATAATAACCAAAGTAATCGATACAAGTTACTGGCTTATTACTTAATTTTTTGGCATAGATTGTTCAAAAATACTTGTTTTTTTATAATTTATTGCTGGTCGCTAAAACCCCTGAAAGATTTAAATTTTATTGCAAAGTATGAAATATCGCATGAACCGAGCGCTTCTAAAAACACCAAAATAATCCTCAAAGCCTTAAATCCTCAAAGCATATATTTAAAATTTCGGTTGG